TAACGGAATTCTACAGTATATACTCTTTTTTTTTTTTTATAAGCTTAACTCTTATAGGCTCAGATATGGAAAAAAAATTAGCATGTAGAAGCTTATTCCTGAGCCTCGATAAACCATTTAAAAAATTATATTATTATTTAATCAAAAATTTTAAATATATATGTTTCTAAATTTAAACCAACAAAAACAACAAAAACCGAAGTCTATAACAACATTAATTCAGCTACATTAAAACCAAAACAAAAATACAGAGCATAAGTCAACTTTATATTTTTCTTATACCCATTAACCTTTAGTAATTTTATATTTTTCTTATACCCATTAACCTTTAGAAATTATTGAAATAGGTATATTTTATTAGGAATATGCTTAAGCTTAAGCATATTTTTGAGCCTCTTTTTACTTTTTGCTTAAGCATATTCGAACCTGTTTCAAAAGTTTTATATGCTTTAAAAAAAAAAACATGTATATTCCTCTCCATCATTCTTACTTTTACTATACGTAATTAATTCAAAAAACATCATTATATATATTTATTATTGCGCGTTTCGTAAGTTTGTTTCCGTTAAGAAAATTTTTTCCTTTTGTATGTTGTGATGGAAAATACTTTCGTTTCGAAAGAAATTTTGTTTTGTATTAATATTTCTAAAAATAAAACCTTAAAAATTTAATATGTTCTTATTCAATATAAACATTTTGGGATTTAAAGATGTTTTTTAAAGTTTTTACAATTAAAATCAGTCTGGAAAACAAATTTTCTTCGTAGATTTTAAAACATTGTTTGGCGAAAATGCTTGTATCGCAAGTGCGACTTCCGAAACAGCTACTTTCGTATGTTGCAAAATAGTTTTATTTCGTATGCCAACTTGCGAAGTGCTAAATTTTGGAAGTAACATTTGCGAAATGAACATCGACGATTTTAAATGTTTTGTAATATTTGGTACAAAAAAATGTAATTCCTCGTTCTCAATTTCCTTATGAAAGAATGTTGTTTTTCCGGAATTGCACGAAATCCTCCGCTTAACAACCCTAGTTTAGTGGCTTTTGTTAAGAGCTTTTAAATTTTGCATCTAATTATCTTATTTCAACATATTCGTTGTATCATCCATACTGCAGCCGTTTTTCAAAACGCCAAAGTTAAAAAAATCAGTTTTGACTTTTTTTCACAAAATAAGCTAGCTTAGATGTCTACAAACCTTATTGAATACTTATTATACAAACTATTATTGAATACATAACAAATTGTTCTGAAAAAATTCTTAAAAATTATTTGTTTTTAAAAAACGTTTTACAAAGAGTTTCTCCTAATAATTTTTTTTAATTGCGTTTTTCTTGAAATACGTAATAAGCATATTAATGCATTTTGAAAAACGCCTGCAGCATATATTTATAGTAAAAAAATGAATGTAGCAAAAAAAACTTTTAATTCTCAAAAGAAAGTTTTCAATTTTTTTCTACCTACGGTCTCTTTTTTTTTTGCCTCAACAGCAGCACCTTCTGTAGTAGCAGGACTGTCTTATTAAGTTCCAGACAACTTTTTATTCAGACCATCCTCAACTTATTAGGACTAATTACCTGAGCACATTATTAACATAAGTATCTCACATACGCAACAAATTTTTTCTCCTGGTGTTTTAATGTTTTTAGAAATTTTAGATTTTTTAAAATCTTTTTGTTTGTCGTGTATAATATCATTAGATAGGTTTGTATTCAATCTTTATAAACTTCAAAATTATTTTGTACTTAGGTCGTTAGGAAAGTTCGTAGAACTCCCCTATAATAAAAAAAAAAAGAGTTTTTTTTTATTTTATTAAATGTTCAAAATAATGTCCATCATTATCTATACAAAGTTACATCCTTTCAAGCCATTTGTGGAACGTTTTTTTATACTCTTCTTTGGGTATACTTTCAAGTAGCTTCGTTATGTGGGTTTTCTGGCTTTCGACGTCAGTATTGTCATCAAGACTTTTTTTTATCAAATCAAATAGCCAATAATTGGATGAAGCTAAGTCTGGTAAGTATGATGGGTGACAAATTATTGTAATTCCAGCTTGGTTTAGACAATTTGTGACGGTTTGAGTTACAAGGGGTCTAGCGTTATCATAGAAAAATTTGAAATTGTAAATGCCCATTTTTTGTCTTTGCTTATTTATTTCGCATATAAGAGGTTTCAAACAATTTTTTATATAATATTTGCTAATAATGGTGTCTCTCTTTCCAAAATAACCCAAATGAACAACACCTGTTGTTTTGAAGAAGATGCAGAACATGCTTTTAGGCTAAAACCTATCGCATCTTACTATAGTTTATGGACTTTCACCTTCACCGACCCAACTAGCATTAGCTGACTTGTGTCCAACTTGTCTCAAATAAAACCACGACTCATCCCCTGTAACAATATCACATAGCCTCCATGGGCCGTTTCTAAAAAGGACTAAATTTTCCTTACATGCCTTAACTCTATTGTTTCGATTTTGATCAGTTAATTCGTGGTGTATCCATAGTGATGTTAGTTTTCTTTTTTTAAGTGCGTTGTGAATGATTTTGTTGATTGTAAAACGATCAATCGATGTCAGGGCTTTAATTATATCATGTGTTGCATGCAGGTTTTCTTCATTAATGGCTCACAAACGTTCAATATTCTTAGCTGTATATGTGGTTTGAAAGTACCCTGAGCGAGGATCATCTTCAAGACTCTCTCTACCATCTTTAAATAAAGTAGCCCATTTGGCAACTGTACTATTTTTTGGAGCTAGTTCACCATGAACTAAAACCAATTCATCGGTTATAGCTTGTGCTGAAACTCCAAATAGACCACGGGTTTTATTATATGCTCGATATTCAAGTTTTTCCATTTTTAAATTTTTTCTTTTAAACGTATATAATAAAATTTAAATAACTTTTTAATAAACATTCAAAATATTTAAACAAATACTTAAAATGTTCATAACTGAACACAGTTCAAAATGATATATAAATATTTAATTATTTCCTGTCGTATTGTAATTTTATAGATGAAGTTCTACTAACTTCTCTAACAGCCTAATTATTTTAAAATAATCGAAAGAAATTTAAAAAAAAATTGCCAGTGGTAGGTCTCTAACCACAGCTTACTTGTTCAGAAGCTCTGCGTGCTTTTCACTTGGTCATGCTGGTACATTGTTGAACGAAATTTTAAAACTATATAATGATTTTTTTAATGGAAATATTATAGATCAAAATTAAGGAGAGCTTGACGCAATTCAATTGAAAATCAAGCTGTAAAACTTGATAAATGTTTCAGTATGTTTTAACATTACTTAATTTGAAGTTTACATACATTAGATATTTGCATAAACGCTCATTCACGTTTTCGTGTAAAACAATGTGCTGCAACTCTTTCTCGCTACTACCTCAGTTGCAATGGCTGCCAAGGTTTCTGTGTCAAACACACTCAAATGAGCACTAACACTACTAAGTTTGTCAATAATATATAGCGATGTTCATTAAGCAAAAAACTTTTTTTTTTTCAATTTTGATTCTATTTATTTGCTTTTTTTTATTGTGCTCATTAAAAGTATTAGGATATATTAAAAATATTATAGTGTATTAAGGTATCCTACAGGTGGGGTACCTTGATACAAGTTTTTAATTTTACTCTTTATAGTTCTACAAATTTATCCTACATTTTATTTTCATAATTAAAAAAAAGTTTAATTTTGAAGGTATATTTTTAATTTGGGTTTAGTTTGGAAGATAAAATTTTAATTTTGAAGGTATAATTTTAATTTGAATGATAATATTAATTTTGAAGGTATAAGTTTAATTTTGAAGATATAAGTTAATTAGGAAGATATAAATTTTAATTTGGAAGATATAAGTTTAATTTACAAATTGCAGCTATTATTTTGAAAAAGTTATTAAAATATTTTTTAATACAAGTTTTTTAACTCTCTCCTCTCAAAAAATATAATTTCAAAAAATCTAAACAATACAAAAATAATCAACGGAATAAATAAAAAATAATAAACTGATAAATAATAAAAATTACGGAGAAGATATATCTCTCCATACTCCAGAGGCATTTAAAATCAAGGAGGCTACCTCTAGCATGCATAACAAGTACTCTACCAATATATCACTGTTTCAAGAAATTTTTTATATATTCCATCAATAATTTACATTTAAATATTTTGATAGTAACTTTGAAATGATTGCAATTGGTTATAAAATTACTTATAGGAATAATGGCAGAGGAGTAATGTTGTAAAACACAGCTTATAAATATCTTTAGATTTTGTCATTATCTTTTTTTTTTTAACATCTTCGCTTCCAACAAGGCTGCAAGCAACCACTAATTAATGTTGGAAGTTACTGGAAGAGAAAAGACGACAATTGTAGAGCAAGATAACGATTGACAGATGACTTTAAAGATTATATGAATAAGAAAAGCAATGTGAATTATGCAAATTATATGAATCAGGAAAGCAAGATGAAGGAAGCCAATTCCTAAAAACTGATGTTCGAGGAAAAAAACTAGGCGCATAAAACTCTTTTGGTTAGTTATTTGGTAAACTATGCAGGGCAATTATTCATCCACAAGGATCAAACACAGGCTCTGGATTTAACAAGAAATGCATACAATGGCATTTACATATTCAAAGATGTTATTAAATGCATTTTTTACAACTTTTTTACATCTTGACTTCTTACAAAGATTAATTTGAAATTAGTAAAAATTATATTTGAAAATGTGAAAAGTAAAATGTTTTAAAAACAAACAAAAACAAAGCCTTAAGTTTTTAATTTTCAATGTTGTTTACAAAATGTTATGGAATCATCAGTTATATATTAATAGTTAAAACAGCTAAACATGTCAGATAAAATTAATTTTCAAGTCTCAAATGTTGCATTTATTGCATGCACTGAATGCCACAAACTTATAATACTGATCAATATTTAGTGTTAATATCATGTAAAAATAATTTAAAAATCATTATTTTTTAAAATTTTATTTTTAGACCGTAGAAAAGTTCTTCGACACCATCCAGATAAAAAAAAAGACAATGTGTCTCTCTTACCTCCTGAAGTAAATGAGCATGAGTATTTCACATGCATAACAAGAGCCTACGAAGTACTTTCATCAGTCGAAGATAGACAAGCTTATGATAGTGTTGACGAAGAGTTTCCTGATGAAATTCCAAGTTACTCACCAAAACAAGACTTTTTTGAGGTCTTTTCAAAGTATGTCAAACTGAATGCAAGGTTCGTAAATTATTAAAATGGCATTAATTTGGAATTTAAACTTGAGTTTAAAGTAGAGAAAATAGTTCAATATGTTTTTTTAAAGAATATTATTTTAAGTTAAATGTGTTGTTTTGTTTATAAGGTGGTCTAGTCATCAACCAGTTCCTTTGCTTGGAGACATGAATACAAGCATTGAAGATGTTAATGCTTTTTATACTTTTTGGTCTGTTTTTACTTTTATTATTTCTAATGTTATTAATTGTATTCTTATTTTATAGTATATTATACATTTGTATTATATTTCATTTAATTTATATAGTCTTTTTTTTTAAGTTGAATAAATTAAATAAAATAAAATAGCAAATAATTATTGTTTTCAGCAACTTTAAATAAACCTAAAATTAAAGGATGGCACAGTAATTGCTGGCTAGTATATTTGAATAATTTTTACCAAGTTAATGTCAAGTGACAGCTTTTTTTCTATCATAGTTTGTTGTGTTTAACATCTATCTTAAGTTGTTGAACTAACATCATATAATGGGTGTAGTTTGTGTGTGATGGGTGTAATTTGTGTGTAATGGGTGTAATTTGTGTGTGATGGGTGTAATGTGAAATTTAACATATTTATATGACACTTGTACACCCTTAAAAAACATGAAAAGTTTTGGAAAGGTAGTGAAAATACTTTGTCCTGTTAAATTTGGATATCTATGTATATATTGATATCTATGATATATTTGGATATCTATGGTTTGCACAATTACATGTTGTTGTAAACTTTAAGCATTTTTCCATTTGTTGTTTTTTTAAAGGTATGACTTTCATTCTTGGAGAAATTTTTCAAATCTTGATACAGAAGACACAAGCAAAGCAGAAAGGTTGTTTAATAAAAATATTTCTTGATATTTATTGTTCTTCATATATACACAAGTGTTAAATATATATACATATATTGTTCTTCATATATACATGTGTGTAAGTTAAATATACTAATAATATATGTTATAACAGACTTGTCATAGCGCCACAAAGCAAGTCTATAATTGCTGAAAAAACTTTTAATGCTGCAATTTTAAATAACAACAGGATATTTATTTTCCTTTACAATAATTTTACTAAATATAAGTATATAATAAAAGTAATAATAATAACATGAATAATATAATAACTAATCATCATCATAATAATAATTAAAGTTATTAGAAATGATTTTTAAAAATTCACTCAAACATTAGTGTGATCTAAGTGTTACCAAATATTAGTTATTTGAGTTATACTAAGCCACAGTCTTGTTAAATTTATTATCAGATGAGTATACGCATTAATACCCATCTTGTGTCAGCCATTTTATGTGACATCCATTAAATTGGTTTCTGAGGTATTTAATAAAGCAACTGTTAAATTACAGAGTTGTCTTGTTAAAAACAATTTTTTTTTTTGTCTTGACTGCAAAAAAGTACGCAATGATAGGCTTAGATCTGACACTTAATAAACTTTAATAAACATCAAAAATTTATTTAAAAAAAAAAATAAAAAGATTAGTTGTAATCTGTAGTATATATGACAGTATGTAATGTAATTTAGCAGTAATGGGCTATTCAAATAATATGTCAAAGTTGATGGGGTTTTAGAAAGTGTCGCTAAATTTTTATCACAATGCAATTAGCTTGAATTGCAAACTTGGAAATATTTTTATATTTAAAATTGATTTTTTGTTTGCACAAAGTTTTTTTGGGATTTTCTCAATTGAAACTTTATAATATCAAAAGTTTGTGGAATAAAAATTTTTTTAAATTGAAAAAAAAAATTGCTGTTACTTTTTTAACTTAATAATATTCACCTACCCAAGGCCATTATAGTCAAGAAGGATACTTTATTTTGGATACAACCCTCTCTTTAACTCTAAAATGCAAACCTTGAAAACAAGTTCAGCGTGGTACTAACAGTACTGCTCTAAACTTGTTTTTCTGCGCTGAAAAGTGGTCTAACATTACTTAGTAAAAGATTGAACTTCTTGTTTATGATGCAAGTACTCTACCGCTAAACTAATACCACTAAACGCTTTACCACGACTGCTACATAGTAGGGGTGGGGCATTCTTAAAATTGCCACTAAATGCCACATGTAAAGGGGGTCTAAAAAAGACAAAAAAAAAAGGTGTTCTGTATTATTTGATTAACTCCTTGAGGCTAAATTAACAAATGCAATTACAAACCACCTAACAATCTAGTACAAAGACACTACCTCCATAAACAATGATAAACTACCAGCTTTGGATATGTCCCAATCCTAATGTGGTATGTGTTACCAAAAAATATGGATCATAGAAATCTTGCATGATCAAATTAAAACTGTCACACTTACCCAATTTATTAAAAAAATATGTTGTTGGAACTGTCTGTATGTGTGTCAAAAACAAGGCTAGCTTATTTACAATTATAAGCTAACTTGTTTCTGCAGTCTTAAAGGGTCAGTCTGAAAATAAAAAAAATGGTTGTTTAAATTGTATGTATTGATGCTATCATACCTTCCATTGATGATGCCAAGCTAGATGTCAATAATACAATGTTTGACATCCTTTTGATAATAGAGGGTTTAGAGTATAATATATATATATATATATATATATATATATATATATATATATATATATATATATATATATATATATATATATATATATATATATACAGGGCTCGAAATATTGGAAAAAAATGTAATCGCGAAAAAAATTTTTTTGGCTTTCTTCCCCCCTCCCCTCATCCCTCATAGCTCACGCTGCTTTGCGGTAATGGATATGGGGGGTGCGTTAGCATAAAATTTTACCTTTTGTACGTAACTATTATTTTTTAACATTTTATCTCTCATATTTAAATACTATCTTATAATTTTCTTGTTTGGCGGAGTTTAAAATAGCGTGGGTTACTGTTATAATTTACAGCTTAATTTATGACTTAAAGTTAAAGTTGCACTTTAATTAGTCATAGAAAACTATTTAATAGGTTCGTGCTGACGATAAAACACTTGTTATTTTTAAAGAGTATTTATATATAATGGTTATATATAATCATATAATAAAAAAATATATAATGGTTATTATGAAAAACTATAAAATTAAAACAATCTGCAAAGTTGTTTTAAAAATATAAATTGCTTGTGTTAATGTAAAACAACTTCGTGACGCTGTTTTGTTTCTGTTTTATATAATTTATAACCTTAAATAACATAAAACGCGTTTAAAATAAAACAAAGCAAATAAATGAAATTGTTCTATTAAATAAATTAAAAAATTATTGTTATAAAACTTTATATTTGCGCAAAAACATTCCTACAGACCATACGAGTCTATAATCTATAGACCAAACAAGTAAAATTAAAGAAAAAAAAGTTCGACATCACTTTTTTTATAATTTATTGTTTCTTGATCCTAGAGGACTAATAAAAGTTTAAGTATAATTAAGTTTTTCATTTAAATGGTTTTTAAATTGATGTTTTCATTCATTTTTTTTATTTAAATTTTTTCCAACAAAAAGTGAAACAAAAAAATTTGGTTGAATAAATCGAATTATATTTCATTAAGTTTAGGAATAAGCTTAAAAACGTTGATGCAAAGAAGTTGCTGCTTTCTATTAGCATTGATTAAGTATTTGAAAAAAAAATTAATAAAATAGAACTAATATATATTTCAATATACTTAAAGTAGTAAAATTAATAATATAAAACTGTTGATAAAATAATAAATTAAATCATTAATAGTAAGTTAATTTGGTGCAACGTTTTGAAAGACAAAGATAAAAACCAGGCTGTTTTGTTAAAAAAAAAGAATGAAGAATGAATTTGCTTTAACGTCTTTTCCCTTTTCAATTTTCGCTTTATTGACTTTTTAAATATTATTGGTTTCCATGCAGAGATTTAAAGTAATTTAAATTCAAATGAAAATCTCTGCACTAAAGGACAAATGATCATCTATTCAGAAGATAAATTTAGCGTGACGTACTTTATAACAAAAGCAATACTTTTAAGAATTTCCAAAAAAAAATGCTAAACTAGAAAAATATATATTCTTATTCTCTTACAATATTTGATTGATTAAAACTTTAAACTAAATTTTCTCTAATAATATTCTGAGATTAACAGTTTTATTTTATTTATGTGCAATTCTTTTCCAACTCTATGGAGCTACTCTCAACAGATTCTTTAAAATTTATAAATTTTAACTTGAAATTCTTAAGTTTTTGTGAAGGCTGATTGTGATCTTAAAGGACATATTCATAAATTAGCAGTATTAATCGATAATGGAAACCCTAGTGAAGGAATTGGAAATGGTTGTCTCATTATAGCTGATAATTAAAATTCATTAACTGCTGAGCTAAATTTTTTATATATTATTATTCTTATATATATATATTCTTGAGATTTTTGTTAACTACTACTAATACCCTAATATTACCCAATCTTCACACTATTAATAGCAAAGTCTTTGAATCTTTAATTAAAAAACATCTAATATCTCATCTTGGTTCTAACAACTTTCTGATAAACATTGCGTATTTCAATACCCAAGTGGCTTGTTAACTGTTATTACAAAAAGATTTTTTTGTAGATTGGATGGAAAAAGTAAGGCAAGGGCTATAACATATCAAGGCATTGCCTTAGGTGTTAGGTGTATTAAAGGCTTTCAAAAACATTTGGTATGCTGGTCTTCTCCATTAACTTGCTTCTAATAAATCTGAGAAAATTTATTTAAAGTTATTAAAACATTCCTTTCTATTTGTAGTATTGAAGTTGTCCTTTGATGGACAATAATTTCTTTTATTCCCAGTAATTTTTGGGGTATTTTCTGGAAATATATTAATGATCTTCCTGAGAATCTTACCTCGTGGTAATGATTCTCTGATATCTTTTTTATCTTAGAACAGGCACTTTTTGATTGCTTAGAACATGCAGCCCATCTTGAATCAGTTTTATATATAATGGAAACTATATATACAATCCACTGTAAAGTAAACAATATTTGTTTTAATTTAAAAGTAATTAAAAGTTGCAAAGGTTGCCTTATTAAGCTTGTTATATTCTTACTCCTGATTCTATTTTCTACCTCTTATTTGTCTTTGTATGGAATACTTTTGTCATATTTGGGCTGGTTGTTCTAATTTGGCCCTCATGTTTTTACCAAGGTCACACATTTCAAATGTTGTTGGACTTGCCCTGTGAAACTTGATTCCCTGTCTCATTGTATAGTTGTATCTCTTTCCTATAAATTCAACATTGGTCACTGCTCAAGCAAGCTATCATCACTTGTTCCATCAACCAAAACTCAATCTTAGGTGCCGTTCAGCTAAGTTGCATCTTTTTACTGTAACTGTTGCTTCATGGTCAAAAAAGTTTTGGAATGCAAAAAAGTTTTTTCTAAATTTAAAACTATAATATTGCATATAAATTGGGTGGTTAAATCTTTTTGGCAGTAACTGTATTGTTAGAAACCATTGTACATTCAACAACAAAATAATGATTTTATTACACTTCCATTTTATGTTATTACATTTTATTTTTTTTTTTTTTTTTTTTTTTTTAAAAAAAAAAACCCTCATGCATTTAGCCTAATTTTTTTTTAAATCAGGTTAAATGCTGCAGAACAAGAATCTTTTTGAAAGTGTTTCTTTAAAACCATAATATAAAATAATGTTGTAAATCATTTCAAAATAGAAGGAAAAGCACAAAATACAAAGTATGATAACGTAAAAAGACTTGAATCTGGTCATTCATTTTCTGATAAAAAGCGTTCTGGTTGTCTATCATCTAGGACTAAAGAAAAGAAAGCCAAGCTAAAGAGATTTGGCAACAACAGAGTCAGATTGATATAATTGAGTTATAAATT